GATCCTATTCCTTTAGAACTGATTTCCGGGTTCTACCTTTGGGTAAATTCGATGCCATTCTAGGCATGGATTGGCTGGAGTCCTACAGCCCAATGCAAGTTCACTGGGCCTTGAAGTGGTTGGCAATTCCATACGAGGGTCAGACTCAGGTATTACAAGGTATCCTTCCTGATGAACCAGATCAACTACTGTTGCAACTTGAACATTCAGAGCCTGTGCTATCTGCAAATCAGGATGCCATCACGGTTCCAACTCCAATCCATCAGTTAATTGAAGAGTTCTCTTACTTGTTCCAGCCACCAACATCTCTGCCTCCTTCCCGTGCTTGTAACCATGAGATCCCTCTGTTGCCTGGTGCTCAACCTGTTTTCATCCGGCCTTATCGGTATCCACCCAAATTGAAAGATGAAATCGAAGCACAGGTTCAGGAGATGTTGTCACAGGGACTCATTCAGCCGAGCTCTAGTTCCTTCTCCTCCCCGGTTCTACTTGTCAAAAAGAAAGATGGCTCATACCACTTTTGTGTTGATTTCAGACATCTCAATGCTCTGACTAGAAAGTCCAAGTTTCCTGTGCCAGTGTTTGACCAGTTGATGGATGAGCTCGCCCAAGCTAAGTGGTTCTCGACACTGGATCTTCGAGCTGGTTTCCACCAGATACTTTTGCAACCCGGTGAAGAATTCAAGACCGCCTTCCAGACTCACCTGGGTCAGTACGAGTTCAGAGTGATGGCATTCGGTCTTACCGGTGCACCAGGCACATTTCAAGGCGCAATGAATGGTACTTTGGCTCCGGGTTGCGTCGCTTTGTCTTTGGTTTTCTTTGATGATATCCTCGCTCACAAACCCCACTTTTGAAGCTCATGTTGATCATCTGCGCCAAGTGTTTCAGTGGTTACGTGCTGATCAGTGGAAGCTCAAGCTATCTAAATGCACCTTCGCCCGGGAGTCCATCTCCTACTTGGGTCATATCATCAGCGGCCAAGGTCTTTCCACGGACCCAGCAAAGGTACAAGCCATCATTGAATGGCCCGTTCCATCTTCAGTTCGGGAGCTCCATGGGTTTCTAGGCCTTGCCGGCTATTACTGCAAGTTTGTGCGTCATTTCAGCATTATTGCCAAGCCTCTAACCGATCTCCTGAAGAAAGATCAGTTGTTCATTTGGACTTCACCCATGACTCTGCATTTTCGGTCTGAAATGTGCTCTTTGTACAGCTCCTGTCCTGGCATTGCCAGATTTCTCTTTACCCTTCCACATTGAAACAGATGCCTCAGGTACAGGGATTGGCGCCGTTTTACAGCAGAATGGGCATCCCATAGCATTCATCAGCAAGGCTTTAAGTCCCCGGAATCAAGGGTTGTCTATCTATGAGAAGGAATACCTCGCCATCTTGCTAGCTATCCAACAGTGGCGTCACTACTTGCTCCAGGGTGAATTCTTCATTCACACTGATCATCGCAGCTTGGTCCATCTTAATGAACAGCGGCTCCATATCGCTTGGCAACAGAAAGTCTTCTCCAAGCTGCTCGGGTTACAGTACAAGATCCTGTATAAGAAAGGCTCAGAGAACAGCGTGGTAGATGCTCTGTCCCGCCGAGTGCCCATGACCCAGAGCTATGCTATATCTTCAGTCTCCAACACTTGGCTCGATGAAGTGGTTAGGGGATACAACTCTGACCAAGCTGCTATGGCCTTGTTGTCTCAATTGGTTGCCAAAGGCAAAAATACCACCCTCCATTCTCCTTGGTCCGAGGCGCCATCGATATAAGAATAAATGCGTGGCTCGGCTCCAATAAACCCATGCAACTTAAAATCATGTTGCCTTTGCAGACCGCATAATCCTTTGGGTGGTCACTTAGGAGCTCCAGCAACCTATAATAAAATTAAATCTTTGTTCTTACGGCGGGTATGAAATCAGACATTTGGGCTTATGTCCAATCCTGTGCGGTGTGTTTGCAAGCTAAGCCGAACAGATCTCACTACCTAGGTTTCTTGCAGCCTCTTCCTGTGCCGTCTGCCTCCTGGGAAGTGATCACGATGGATTTCATCGAGGGGTTGCCACAGTCTGGATCCTACAATGCCATCTTAGTCGTGGTGGACAAGTTCTCCAAGTTTGCACACTTTATTTCCCTGCGTCATCCCTTTACAGCAGCTTCTGTGGGCAAGATCTTCATGGACCAAGTGTATCGCCTTCATGGTCTACCTCGAGCCATTGTATCGGACCATGACCGCATCTTTACAAGCAACTTATGGAAATCTCTATTTAAGGCAGCCGGTTCCGAGCTTCAGTTCAGTTCAGCATACCATCCTCAGACGGACGGCCAGATCGAACGTGTCAACCAGTGTGTCGAAACATTTCTTCGCTACTTTGTGCACACTTGCCCAGCTCAGTGGAGTCGATGGTTACCACTCGCGGAATTCTGGTATAATACTTCTACACATTCCGCACTGGGCCGTTCCCCCTTTGAGGTCTTATATGGTTTTCCTCCATGACTGTTGTCGGTGAACTTGGATGAGGTGGCTCCAGTGCCTGATCTTCACAAGTGGATGGTTGATCGTGAGCTCATGCATGCTGTTGTCAAGCAGCACTTGCTCCGCGCTCAGACTCGAATGAAACAGCAAGCTGATAAAGGCCGTTCTGGGCGTCAGTTCTCTGTGGGCGATATGGTGTTCTTGAAGCTTCAGCCCTATATCCAATCATCACTGTTCCGCCGCTCCAACAACAAGCTATCTTTCAAGTTCTTTGGACCATTTCAAGTCATTCAAAAGATTGGTTCAGTTGCATACAAGCTGTAACTTCCACCGAAAGCGCTGCTGTACATCCGGTCTTCCACGTCTCGCAGCTGCACTCGTCTCCTGGACATCAGCAGGTATCACCATCACTACCTTACGATCGATCTGCTTTGCCGTTTGAGTTTCGCTTGGTCTTTTGCTGAACGCTACTGGCAATCTGGGCCTCGCCTTGTGGCACAAGGTCTTATCCAGTGGTCACATTCACCTCCGGAGCTGTCTACTTGGGAGCCGCTTGAGCAACTGCACCAACAGTTTCCGCGGGCACCAGCCTGGGGACATGCTGGTTCTGAAGATGAGGGGAATGTTAGCAGCCTGCCACTTCCTGTGCCGGTGACTACCGAGGACGACACGGAAAAAGTCAGCAGAGGTCGCTTTCATTTGATCGGCCCAAGAGACTGCGCCGGCCCAATACAAGGATTGTTGGCCCAATGTGGCAAGCTTAGTAAATGTATTAAGTAGCAGTAAGGACAGAGGAGAGGGCAGGGAGGAAAACACAAAACTATACTTTGTTCTGAGTAAATCCGGCCATTGCGCTGTTCCTGTCGGTTCTTCCAGTTCTTCCTCCCGTATTTTCCTTTTCCAATAGTTTGCTCTTACACGAGACTGGGCAGGCTCTCAAGTTACTTGTTTTAGAAGCGAAAGATCCTATGAAAGCAAACGTGTTGAAGCGGCCCGGCTCAAGTCGGTGGGGATCTCGCTAAATCTGAGAGATCTCTCCGGGAGGAATCGGTTGGGGTCGCATAAATGGCTTGATCTCAAGGAGTTGGGCTTAGAGGTTCCCAAGTCGTGTTAAGTCGGATTTATAAGGCCAACCTCAGCGAGAAGTTTTATAACGTTGTTTCTAATACTTCAATGTCAACTCCTGGAGGGCTAGAGGTTGACCTAAGCTTTTAGTTCTCACGTAGGGTTAAGCCTCTTATTTCGGGATGTTTGCTGTAATACCTTGAATATTTTTGTCGGTGGTATCCCCAGTTGATTGTTGTACACCTTCCGCCTTGGTTTTTTGCTAAGTGTCTGTTTAGTTCCCAAAATTTTGCAAAATTTTTCAAGATTTTTCGTCGCATCGAATCTTTGGACGCGTGCATGAAACATTAAATATAAATAAAAAATAAAACTAATTACACAGTTTAGACGAAATTCACGAGACGAATCTTTTAAGCCTAATTAGACTATGATTGGATACTAATTGTCAAATAACAACGAAAGTGCTACAGTACCGTTTCAAAAAAAATTCACCAACTAAACCAGGCCTAAGTCGGTGTTCAACATCGTAGAGTCCTCAATGCTAGAGGAAACGAGCATGAAACGAATCTCAACGCAGTCATTTCCCTCTTCGTTCCACTGTAGGAGTAGTACTCTGCGTTGGATTCCTTTTGGGTTTGCCCGGAGCGGGCGGACCCAGCTCCACCGCAGCTGCAACGGCAAGCGGGCAGGCAGCCAAACGGAACGGAAAGGAGCGAAGCGAGCATGCATAGCTGGGCGCCAATCCAAACAAACTCCCAGGTCCCAGCACTAGGAGTCTCTACTGGCGCCTGCCCCTGCCCGCTGGCCGCTGCCCAGCCCGCGCCGGAGGGGCAAGCCGGCCCGCCGTGCTCCCCCACCACCCACCTTCCCCTCTCTGCCCGCCTGCCTGCGCCTATGCCTCCGCACAGCTCCTACTCTCCTTTTGATTGAATTTTTTTTTGAGTCGATCCACAGCTCGAGCATTTGCGATTGCGACTACTAACCTGTTTGCAAAGGCACTGTCGGTCCAATCGAATGTGCACCCCAATTTCCCGGGCAAAACAAAACATGAGCTTGTTGGTTTCATCCATGTTTTGCCATGGGGTATAAACGTCCTATAGTATTGAAGCAGTGATGCGGATCACCGCGAGCACCAGCCCTTCGGCCATTGTAATCGTTGCTCATTCAATTTGGATTCAAAGAACTGGAAGCAGAGAGTTCATGATCACAAATTGCTCAAAATTATGGAGCGATCCAAAAAAGAGGACACCCTACATAGCTAAAGCGAAGCAACCAACCAAAAAATCACACCACACCACACTCAGCGCTCACGAAAAAAGGTAGGTGACCACGATCAACTAGTCGATCACCGGAATCGAACTACTCCAACAAACTAGCGCACGCTAAAGCACAAATCTGCCGCAACTACTTTCTGTACAATTTGCTCGTGATTCGTGGTTGCCGGCGGTCCGGTCACCAGTGGGTCACCGGAGTAGGTCGGCCCGCAGGTGCGAGAGCTCTTTCCTCAGCCGGTTGGAGAAGAGCCTGCACGCGTCCATGCTCAGGTCCACGGCCGCCGCGAGGGCCACGAATGCCGCCGCGTCCTCGGCGCACCCGATGTGCGCCACCCCGACCTCGACCGTCGGCTTGCTGCACCGGCCCTCGCCCTGCACCGCGGCGGACATGACGAAGCCGCGGTAGTTGCCCAGGGGCCAGTTGCTTAGGTCGCCGCTGCCTCTCGGGCTGCACCCGGGCGTGCCGCCCCGGCTGAGCGGCTGCGCGGCGGTCAGGTCGATGGCGAACTTGCCGCCCTTGGATGAGGGGATGGAGGAGTCGGCGAGTGCGACGGCGTGGTCCGCACCGGGGACGAGGAGGTCGAAGTGGTAGCCCAGGCTGTCGGACGCGCCGGCGCCGCCGCGCTCGCGCCAGCACTCGAGGCGCGCCCAGGGCTCCCAGGCGCCGTCGCCTGCGGGGCGAAGGATGAGCCACGCGCCCGGGTTGGAGCGGCTCACGCGGTCCGTGCCCGGCGACGGCACGAAAGGCGTGATCATGGACGCCATCGCCACGGGGGAGCCCTTCAGGTCGTGCACCGTCACCGACCACCCCTTGCGCTCCTTGGCCGACGCGCCGGCGTCGCGCTCCGGCTGCATCCCCGGCCTGCGCAGGTCGCTGTTGCTGCGGCATCCGAACTTGCAGGTGAACATGGGCTGCTTCATGGTGCTGCCCACCTGCAGCACCGGCGGGCTGCACTCCGGCTCGCCGTCGAACTCGAAGACAAATCGCGGGTCCGGCTCCGCGCGGACGGTGAGGCTGAGCACCGTCGCCGCCGCGAGGCGGCCCTTCCCGGCTCGCTTCCCGATGGAGATCCAGCCGCTGTGCAGCACGGCGGGCTTGGCCTCGGCGCCCTTGAGGTCGAGCGGGATCGTAGCCTTCCCAAGCAGCCGCCCGGAGCTGACGCCGCAGGTACTCCCCTTCCGGCCGGCGTAGACCGACACCTTCAGGCTGGCCTCCCCGCGCGACGAGAAGAGCGACGGCTTCCCGTTGAACCACGCCAGGTCAGCCTTGGACAGGTGGAACGCGGCGGCGAGGGCCCCGGACGCCGGCGTCTGCTCGCCGCCGTCGGAGACCACGAGCGGCGCCGGAACGGTCTGGACCGGCATCTTCCCGAGCCGGATCTTGCAGTAGCACGGCGACGTGGACGGGTGGACGCCCGCGCCGGCCCCGGCGGCCGGCGGCGCCACCGGCATTCTGAGCGCGAGGTTGCCGACCAGCACCCGCACGAACGGGCACGGATCCATGGCGCGCTTGCTGCTCCTGTCACACCTCCACTCCCTCCCACACCTAAAATCCGCGCGAAATTCCGCTGAGATTTGGCGGCGATGGGGGTAATGCGGAGTGAGAGCGAGGGCGAGGGCGATGCGTGGTGAGGGAGATAAGGGAGGGGACGAGTTGGTATAAGAATCGGGTGAGGAACGGCGGAGCCGTGGAGTGGGAGGAGCCAGGCTGGATCCTGGTGTGCCGTGGCTGTGGCTGTGAGACACCAGCCCGCACACGCCCCACTTGCGCATCAGCTCGGGATCCCGTCACTCGTGCGCAGGCCCGGCCGCCGAGGCCCCGGGTGTCAGTGACCGCGCGTGGGTTTCTAGTTTGGCGTAGTAGGCGCCGTGGGGATGCGTGCGTGGGGAGGCGAGCTGGAGCCGACACGGATCCGAACGGGCAGCGGCGCGGGCGCGCTGCGCTGTGGCCAGGTCCAGGCGGGGGCTGCATGGCGTCGAGGTCAGCTGGGGCGCGTTTGTTTGCCTGGCCCAGTCGGGTCACTGCGCTCGCGGGCTGCAACTGTTTGTTTATCTGGACGTGGTTCTCAGCCCGGTCTGCACGCTCGTTAAAGCAGGCCTCAGCCAGGTCATGGGGAACAAATTTCGTTTTCGATCCTCCTGGGCTCAGCCCGAGCGGGCGCTCGGGGTGGCTGGAGCGGACGTTGCCGTCACCTGCGGTGTCTTCCTCCGAATCCCACGTTGCCCCCTCCGGCACTACCCACCTTGCCATGACAGCGCCGCCGCCATCGTCTCCCTCCCCGCGGCTCCACCCCTTCCTTCCTCCCCAGCGGCTCACCAGGAAGCTTCCGTGCGCCCACGCCATCTTCCTCACCTTCGCCACCACCTCCTCCGTGCCTCCACCATCTCCTCCACGCGGCTCCCACCCCATCGGTGAGGTGGTTTTGGCGAGGTCGAAGCAGCGCGTTGCCCTGCCTCTCGGTCGGCGGTGACCCCGCCTCGAGATCCCGACGAGGACGGTGAACTGGAGGTGGTTGAAGACATGTAGTCGACGCCGACACGGATCCCGGCGGGGTAGCCCATCCAGCACATGAGATTGGCGCACGTAGGCCGCCAGTGGTGAGCTGGCCGTGGGCGCAGGCGCCGGTGGCGAGGAGACGCTGTGTAGGCCACCGTGGCATGGCTGACTCTGGAGGTCATGACCTCCGGATCTCAGCGCGTCGGTGACTGGCCATGAGGGCCACGACGACGGTGACCACTTGGAAGCGTAGCCCAGCCATGGCACTCCTGGGCGTCGCCACCACACAGCTTGAAAGGATCTAAACAATGCCGAGAGGGGGGTGAATAGGCGTATCTAAAAAATTCTACACAAAACTCAAAGTCACTTGTCAGCGACTGTCGGAAGTCCCGACGCCTACGAGAAATGTACTACAAGTGCTAAAATGAACTTTGTGACTTCGATAACTTACAACCCCCTTCCTAGTGGTAAGGTAACGCGTTGGGGTTGCTTCTTTGACGTCGAAAGGTCACCACTCCGTAGATCGAGTCCAAACCCTAAGAAAATCTTTGGCGAGGAAGAGACACACAAGAACAAAAGTGATAGCACAAGTGTCAACAACAACAAGCACGTAGGACACAAGGATTTATCCTGAGATTCAGCAACCCCACAAACTAGCTCCTACGTCCTCGTTGTTGAGGTGACCACAAAGGTTGGAGTCTCTTTCCCCTTCTTATCTCTCTCAAAGTAACCACAAATGTCATTCGATGTTTCCACAAAGAAATCAAGGGTAATACAAACTTCTCAAGGCTCTTCCATAAAATAGAAGCTCTTGGACGACGTCTAGCCGGCAAGGGGAAAAGTCCCAAGAGTAATAGGCGTGAATTCAATCGGCTTACGAAGAAATCGAGTGCTCAAGCTTGCCAAGGTGATGCTCTCACTCAATCCACTCTCCTTTCACTCAAAACCCTAGGGGAATCAAAGATTGGAGCAAAGGAGAGAGGAGAGAGAGGAGTCTTGAATGCTTGGGAGCTATTTTGTATGAAGGTTGGTCAGCAGTGAATAAGTGAGTCTGCGTTAGAAAAGAGGAGAGGTATTTATACTCATAGTAAAAATCTAACCGTTTAGATCTACGTCGGGACTTCCGACGGAGATCACGGGACTTTCGACCTCTGAAGAAAACATTGTTCATGCAAGGTCAAACTCATTACGAACACATCAAAGTCGGAACTCCCGGCATACGTCGGGACTTCTGACACGTGCGGTCTGTAGGGCAGCCAGTTGTCCAGGTGTTGGGACTTCCGATGGCTACAATCACTGCACAAGCTAAGTAATTGGCGTCAGGACTTTTGGCGTGAGTCGTGACTTTCGATGGTCAGGAGTTCCGACTTATGTCGGGAGTTCCGACTTATGTCGGGACTTCCAACACCAAAAGTCACCGAAAACTATTCTACATGCTCGTGAAGTGCTAGAGTGTCTCTCTTTTGATTTCATTTTTATACTTGAGCACCCTATCTTCCTCAGACCAACTAAGTTTGCATCCCTCTTTATAGTACGGTATACCTAAACTCAAAAGCATAAAATGTAAACTTGAAAATCCGCTTTGAGTTCGACGCCTTTTACCACTTCAAGAATTAAGGGATATCATTTCATCTTTATCAACTCTTTGAATCTTTCATGGGACTAATAGCTGCGACATATCTCATTAAGATCACATTAGTCCCTAATTTGGATGTCATCAATACACCAAAACCCACATAGGGGGCAAATGCACTTTCAATCTCTCCCTTTTTTGTAATTGATGGCAACCAACTTAGGCTTTTATAAGAACGGAAGAATTTAAAGCTTTTGAACCCCAAAATTTATGAAGAGCTCCCCTTTGATGTATGCATGAATTTGAATTTCAATTAGAACCATCTATACATGATTTGCATACATCAAGACAAAAGCTCCCTCTAAATTTTGCAATCCGTGGGGTGCAACAATTGTGTGAACTAAAATATATCCGTGAAAAGAGATGCAGTATGACATATTATATTCACAAAACAAGTAAAAGAGAATGTGGTGGCCGAGAATTCAGAGTAGAAACTTGAAGCAATACATGGCCATCCAAAATAAAACATTCATCATCACAAGTAGAGACAAGCACAAGCTAATATATAGCTGTCCATCACATACTAGCCACTACACGACATAGTTCATACAAGCTAAAAGTTTTAAGGTCTCAAAACTAAGTGACCAACTAACTTATTACATGATAGATCAAATCCTAACACTCCCCCTTTGTCAACAAGTGCCAAAAGGGGTAGGCCGCATGAAAGAAACGACTACTCGTCCTCGTAGTCCTCATCATCATCATGGTCACCATCATCACCACCATTATCGTCGTCGTCATCATCATCTTCATCAATGTAGTCCTCGTCCTCTGTAGTGGCCTTGCTCTTGCCATGAGGGCGAGAAGCAGCATCGTCCTCATATGCCACACATGCCTCATCATAAAGAGCCAAAGGATCACGGGAAGGCACAAACGGAGACGGAGGAGAAGACTCAATACTAGCCCACTGCTCCAAACGATAGAGCTCATTACGAACACATCAAAGTCGGAACTGAAAGTGCATCTAGCCCTTTAGTGGGTTTTGGTTGATTGAATGACAACGTAATTAAAGGACTAACCCGTTTGCTAAGTGTGAACAGGTAATAGGTTATCTCACAGGTACTTAATGAAAGCCAAAATGATGTGTTGTTGTATAAATAATCTAGTTCGAGCACAAGACAACAATGCAAATGGAATTCATGTGAAGGCTTATTTTTTGTGGGATTTCCATTGACTATGTGAAAGCAAGCTCATGATTATTAGTTAATGAGACATGAGGGATTGCATATGGAATGGTCTCATATTTGAAGCTTGCTAAATTAAAATGAAAAAGATAACAATACATATGAATGGATGATTCAACACAAGATGTGACTTGATGGCTTGAGATGGTGAAGATAGCAAGGAAAGGCTTGAGGTACTAAGCAAGGGTGAAGGGCAAGCGGCGGCTTGGCGTCAAGAACCTAGCTAGGGTGAAGAAGAAAGTACTTGCATTTAGTTGAGGTACTAATCAAGCTAAGATGGTCATATTGATGTGAAGAATCAAATCTATAATGAAGTATTTGATGGAAGTGACTTGATACATTTGGGGTTATTCAAATTTGATGAATGGAATCAAGTCACATGCTCAAGATGGCTATGCTCAAATGAAAGATCAACATCAACTTGTTAGCACCCTTACTTGATGAAGATTGGAAGGACGGCATCAATTCAAAAGAAATCAACTCAAGTGGTATAAATTCATTTTTCTTTTGATCTTGAGTTTAATAGGTATGCCGTACTATTAAGAGGGATGCATCATGTTGATAGATAATGTTTCATAAGTGCTCAAGCCAACCCATGTGAGGTTTGATTATTTGAGCGACAAATGTGCTAATCGATTTCTTCTTTGGTGCGGCAATCACCGGACGTGTCCAGATTCATACCGGACGTGTCCCAGATTTGTCCAAGAAATTGCAAAATTGTTGTTCTCGGGTTGCTTCATCGGGAGTTCCGGCGTAGGTCGGGAGTTCCGACGGTCGGGAGTCCCGGCATGAGTCGGGAGTTCACGCTCTCGCACTTCAACACACTTTGAGGTTTCATTGTCTCGGTCATACTGGGACGTGTCCCGTATGGATGACTAGAAGCCAGCGGCTAGTTTTCAAAAGCCGTGAGGTCGGGAGTTCGACATGCGTCGGGAGTTCCGACACCTCACTAACTTTAACTCAGTTACATGTTTTTCAAAATTGCTGAGGGTCGGGGGTTCCGACTTGAGTCGGGAGTTCCGACGGTCGGAAGTCCCGGCATACTTCGGGAGTTCCGAGGCCTCACAACATCACTATAACTTAATTACCGTTGGCGCGATGAGTCATACCCGGACGTGTCCGTATGCACACCGGACGTGTCCGGTATTACAACAACTAGTTTTTCAAGGGGCTATAAATACCCCAAGCCTCCACCTTGGGGGGCTCTTGATTCTTGAGAGAGACACACGTTTTGAGCCTTGCCAACTCTCCTAAACCCTCTCTTAGTGAGTGTGTGATCCAAATTACAAAATCAATTTGTGGGTTAAGAGAGAATTTGAAAAAAGAGAGCAAGCCACCACTTGAGCACTTGTGCATATTGTCAATCTCGTGATTCGCATTTGTTACTCTTGGACTCTTCGGTCCTAGCGGCTAGGCGTCATGGGAGAGCAACCTAGAGATTGTGGTTGCTTGGGAAAGTTTGAAGCGGTCGATTCCGCTACTCGGAATCAAATTAGTGGAAGGAGGAAAAGGAGTTGGAAAAGACTCGGCTAGAGTGACCTTCGTGGTACCCTCTAGGGTCGACCTTCATTTGGTCGCCATGAGCCCCCTCAATCGGAGAGTAGGACTCGAACGAGTCCGAACTTCGGTAAAACAAATATCGTGTTTAAATTCGCATTTCATTTGATATTTGTGTTGCTCTAGCTGTTCTGCAGGTTCTCTGTGTATATTGTCATCTCCACTAGGTGCCTGCAGTTTGGTTTGAAGATAGAAATCGAAAGGAGCAAGTTCGGGGCAGATCTGCAGAAATCGTGTATACCGGACACGTCCGGTATTCATACCGGACACGTCCGGTATTTCCTGTCTGCACTGAAAATATTTATTCTCTGTTCTAACTTGGTGTTGCAGGGTTGTAGCTTCTAGATATATTCTTTATACCTTGTTTACTTTGTGGCTAACTTGTGAGGGGTGGTAGTACTCTTGATTTGGAGTTTCCATTTTGGAAACTCCCCCTTCTAATTGTTTCCGCTTTTAAAGGTGTTAATTTTCAGAAACGCCTATTCACCCCCCCTCTAGGCGGCATCCTAGGTCCTTTCAATTGGTATCAGAGCGAGGTTCTCACCTAAAGCTTCACCGCCGTGAGAAAAGGATGTCGACGCCTATCGAGTTGGAGCCGGTACTTCTCCAAAATGATGGTTCAAACTTTCTACCTTGGTCAATACATGTACTCAATGCTTTTAGAGATATTAGTCCTCTTGTTGAGCATATTGTGGATGCAAGCATACCTCTTTCTATAGTTGATTGGAGCAACTACAAAAATTTGTCAAAAGAGGAAGAGATATGCGTGCAACTCAATGCTCAAGCTAT